TTGAATATATCATGGACTGCTAGAAGAACAAACAGGCATTTCCTAGAAAGGATGAGACCAGGCTGTGCCTTGGAGGCAGAATTCTAAAGCTTCGTCTGAAATACTTTGGACATGTTACAAGGTGAGACCAGTCCTTGGAGAGGGACATCATGCTTCGGAGGGTGGAGGGACAGCGCAGGAGAGGAAGACCCTCGATGAGATGATTAAGTGGGGTAATAGGGCTAAATGTGTCAGAGACACAGGTTGGCTCAGGATAGAGCACGGTTTGGGGCTGTTGTACATAGAGTTGCTATGAGTCACAGGCAACTTGATGGCACATAAAGCAACAATAGCATGATATTGTTTGAAAATTTCCACACTGTTGGATCACCATTTTTTGAATGGGTACATTTAGCCAGATATTTGCTTAAAATGGTTCAGGTTTATTGTAAAACTAAGAAAAAGATATTGGAGAAATTCTTCACAATCTAGAACAAAGCAGAGTTCTGAGCCCTGACTTACAGACTTGAAAGTCCATAAAAAAAAAAAAAAATACAGTGTAAATTGAACTTCATCAAAACTTTTCTTTCATGAAAGATTTTGTTTTCAGATGAAAAGCCAAGCTACAGACTAGGGGAAAGTATTTGCTAACCACAGATTGGGCAAATGACTAGTATATGAATTGTCTTTTTTTATATATTGCTGCTATAACAAAGATACCACAAGTGGATAACTTCAGCAAAAAAAATTCACTTAGAGGTTGTTGTTGTTATGTGCCATTTAATTGCTTGTGACTCATAGCGTCCCTGTGTACAACAGCTCTGAACCCTGCTCTACCTTGAGCCAACCTTATTGTCTCTGATACACCTATTCCCATTAATTACCCCAGTCACTGAGTCAATCCATCTCATCCAGGGTCTTCCTCTCCTACGCTGTCCCTCCACCCTCTCAAGAATGATGTCCCTCTCCAAGGACTGGTCTCTCCTTGCAATATCCCCGAAGTATGTCATTCAGAGCTTCAAATTTCTTGCATCCAAAGAGCAGCCTGGTTTCACCCTGGAAATTCAAATTCAGGGTGTCAGCTTTAGGGGAAGACCAGCAATCTGTCAGTTCTGGAGGGAGGTCCTTGCTCCCTTGAGCATCATTCCTTAGGGAACTCCACGTGTCTTGGCCTTCCTCAGGGTGAAGGAACTTCTTAGTGCAGAGACCTGAGTCCAGTAGGAACACTCCACTCTGGCCATTTTTGCTTTTAGTTGCCTTTTTATTTCTTTCAACTTAAAAGATGTTATAGGCCACACCCTAGTGAAGTGCACCTTATCTCCACAGGGCTGTGATGGGGTTAAGGAGAGTTGGAGTCTACCTTTAATCCTCTTACAAGTCTTATTTATCAGATTGTGGGGGTTCATTACATCGCTTCCACAGTATATCATTACATGTTTGGGCAACAGGGGACACAATTCAATCCATCATGTAATATAAAGAGTCTTAAAGATCTCTGGTGGCAAAGCCCAGAGTCGGTGCCTGTGTGGTGGTTTAAATCTATCAGTTGTTCCACTGGAGAATCATCTGGGCAATCATCTCCTCCCCAGTGATTTACAGCCTCAGAAAACCCCCTGGTGGGTCAGCTATGAGTTGATTCTGTCCCCATAGTAATGAAGAAGAGGTTTTTTTTAGTTCTTAATGAGCCAGTTTTTTTTTTAATAGTTATGTGTGGACTTGCCACCAGAAAAACTCACAATGCTTGGTGAAAATTAGAAAAAGAAGAAAAATACTTAAAGTCATGGGAAATTGTTTAAGTGCATACCTCAAAGAAACATTACTTCAAGAAAATTGACTAAATCTTTGTCAGCACAGTGAGAGTACATGTCATGTGGCTCTTAACCTGTTCCCTAACAGCTGACTCTTTGACTCAACAAAAAGGAAGCTGTGCCCGGATAAAGCCAGTCAGAAGGTTTCCTCTCCTCAGGTCCTAGCTCAGGACTAGAATGTCTCCCTGAAAAGGAGAAACTGCAAATATTTCTTTTTCATCCAGGTCTCCTCCCCCAACTCCCTGTACCCAACAGGAGATCAACATCCAGGTGAGTGGGAATTCTATATTCACAGAGGCTCCTCTCTTAGTGTGTGGGCTCTTCCACAAGCAGGGAATGTTGCTATGTACTGTCAAATCAGAACCAACCCATAGCTGACCCTCCACTGGATTTTCAGAGGCAGTACATTGCCTGGGAGGTGATTGCTCATCCTTTTCTCATGGAGCAGCTGGAGGATTTGAACTGCATACCTTAGCACTGTCAGCACAATTCCTTACCACAAAGCCACCGGAGCTCCCAAAGCAGGGAATAGTGGAACTCTAGTTGTACTTTCTCTAGTACCAGAATTCAACAACACAAGATAAAGGTAAACAACCCAATTGCAAAATGGGTATAGACTATGAACAGACACTACACCAAAGAAGATAATCAGATGGTGAGCAAACACATGAAGTGTTCAAAATTCCTAGCTCATAGAGAGACGCATGGAATATGCCAAGAAAACAAATAGGTCTGTCTTGGAGGGGGTGAAATTAAATGTCTCCTTGAAGGCTAGGATTTTAATGCTCTGCCTAACTTACTTTGGGCATGTGGTCAGGAGAGACCAGTCCTTGGAAAAGGACATCATGCTGGAAAGGGTGGACAGACAGCACAGGAGAGGAAGACCTCTGGTGAGATGGATTGATACAATTACTGGGGCAATTGGATTGATACAATAACTGGGGCAGTAGGGGTTGGTGTATTGGAATTAGTGAGACTGGCTCATAACAGGGAAGGCTTCAGAACTGCTGTACATGGGATCGCTATACATTTCAGGCAACTCAATGGACATATAACAACAATAACATACTAAGACAGGTCTGGAAGCAGGAGTGGCTTCCATTTCCTAAACATCATGCCTCCAGAAACTATGAACTTTGATAAACGTCGATAGTTGTAGAGGGGCTTCAGGCCTTTTGTTCAAAGGGTCGCTGTGAGTTGTGCTTGACTCGAAGGAAATCAACAACAAGAGAGATGCAAATCAAAACAACTATGAGATATCCTCTCACCCCAGTAACAATAGCAGAATTTAACAGAGCAGCAAACAACAAATGCTGGCGAGGTTGTGGAAGAATTGGAACCCTTATTCACTGCACGTAGGAGTGTAAAATGGTGCAGCCGCTATGGACGGCAGCGTGGTGCTTTCTCAAAAAGTTGGAAATAGAAATACCATTTGATTTAGAAATTCTACTAGTGGGAATATACCTAAAGAAATCATAACAGACATCCGAACAGATATATGGACACTTACGTTTATTGCTGCATTGTTCACAATAGCAAAGAATGGAAGCAACCCAAGTGCCCCTCAACGAAGGAATGGATAAAGAAGCTGTGGTATATTCACACAATGAAATCTGAAAAACAAGAAACTCATGGAATATTATACGAAATGAGTGACCCTGGAGGACATATTATGCTGAGTGAAATATCTCAGTCACAAAAGGACAAGTACTGCATAGTGCCACTCTTACAGAACAGGACTGACATGGGGTTTGGGGAGAAACTAAGAAAAGAGGGCATAAATAATGTACACTGCATTGAAACAGATGAGGTATAGAACTGCTTAAAAAGACTATATGGTTAGATATAATCTGCATGACAACAGTCCAGAATAAGAGCTGCATAATAAAGTGGATTTGGGGGGGGGGTGGAATTATGCAACAATAAAAGATTTTTTTTTCAAAGAGAAAAGCGAACTGGGGGGGAGGTGAGTAGGGAGGAAAATGTACAAAAATGAATGAATGGAAATCCAAATTCTCTATAAACTTTAATTAAAATCTCAAAATATTTTTTTAATTTCAAAGGCATCAATTCTTCTACCTTATTCGTGGTCCAACTCTTAGATGCACAGCAAGTTATTGGAAAGATCATGGCCTGAATCAGTTGCACCTTAGTCATTGACATAGTTGTGCCTCAATACTTTGGAGGGATCCCTCGCTTTCACTGTAAAGTATGTTTCCTGATCTGACTGTTGGTACCAAGGGTTTTGATTGTGGAACCAATACGTTGAAATTGTTGACAATTTCATTATTTTTCCCATCTATCTTAATGTTGCTTATGGACCCAGTGGTGAAGAATTTTGTCTTTTTCATCTTGAGATGTAATCCATATTGAAGGTAAGTATGAGTCTATATTGAAGAATAGAGTTGTAGTGTTGGAGAAGAGTACTGAATATCCAAAGGACTGCCAAAAATCCAAACAGGAATGCCTCAGAGCAAGTATACCCAGGGTGCTCCTTACAGGCAAGGACGCCAAAGCTTCCTATCACATATTTTGGGCATGTTATTAATAGAGGCTATTCCTTGGAAAGGGACATCATGCTTGGAAAGGTGGAGCGTCAGCGAGCGAAAGGAAGACCCTCAACCAGATGGAGTGACATAGGGATTGCAGGAATAGACTGAGATATATCAGAGAAGATGAGGATGACGCCGGATAGGACAAGGTTCAGAGGTTCGCTATGAGTAGTACTTGACTACATGACACCTAACAAGAAGTTGCGCTTTCCCAAATCACTTACATGTAAGTCAAGTCTAGAGGCCACTAACCCTACTCGTAAAGAGCTTCCAGCTCTAGGGCAGTGACTTGGCCATCTATCTCGCCCATGAAATGGGTCAACAATGTCTGTACTCCAACAGTGCCCTCTCCACAAGCTTGATAATGAAGCTGTCTAACCAGTCAGGTGAACACAAAAGGAATGCAAACATTGAGAAGGCGGTTCAATAATATCCCATGTTGCGCGGTAATGACAGCGTTGCCCGTGCAGCCCCTGAAGCGCCTGCGCAGAAGAGGGGCCACGCCGCAGGCTGCTCCGGGGGGAAGTGCTGGTGCCCCGAGCCACGTGACCTAAGACGGGCGGGGCGGGGCGGGGCTTGGCGGAGGAGGGCGTCCCGGGCGCTCAATGGGCGGCGGCGGAGTGTGTGTTCGTGTGTGTTGCCGCCTTGGCGTCCGCTGGCCCGGGAACAGTGGAGTACATGCCCCGCAGGCCGACAGCTGAGGCTGGCAGCCGCTGGGAGGCAGCGGCAGAGGAGGAGGGGAAGGGCAGGCCGAGGCAGGTCGGGAGTCCCACTCTGAGGCTGGAGAGCCCCGACTTCACTGGGGTCGCCGCGCGGCCGCGGGCGGGAAATATGGCATCGCTGGTGGACCGAGTGCGCGACAACGGGCGCATCACCGCGGGGCTCTTGCTCAACCTTTTAGTGTCTATCTGCATCGTGTTTCTCAACAAATGGATCTATGTGCACCACGGCTTCCCCAACATGAGCCTGACCCTGGTGCACTTCGTGGTTACCTGGCTGGGCTTGTACATCTGCCAGAAGCTGAACATCTTTTCCCCCAAAAGTCTGCCGCCCTCCAAGCTCCTTCTCCTCGCCCTCAGCTTCTGTGGCTTCGTGGTCTTCACCAATCTCTCTTTGCAAAACAACACCATAGGCACCTATCAGTTGGCCAAGGCCATGACCACACCGGTGATCATCGCCATCCAAACCGTCTACTATAAGAAAACCTTCTCCACCAGAGTACAGCTCACGCTGGTGAGTAGCCTAGGCTTTTCCCGAGGCGCACCTTTCATCATCCATCTCCTGGAGCGTCGTGCTCCTCCCCGGGAAATTTGAATGCACATTGTTTAACCCTGCACTAAGCCCTTATCCGTGCTCTAGAAATCCTCAGATGAGTCTTCTGTGAGCATCTGAACTTCATGCTTATTTTGGGGTGGGGGTGGGGGGAAAGCCGTGTTTGCTCTGTAGTGAGCTCTTAGCCCAGGAAAGTGTGTGTTTATTTGAATTTTAATAACCAATTAGGTTGAAATCTTTACGTGCTGTTTTCGATTAAAAAAAAGGAAAACGGTATAGGGTGATGCAACACGGTGCTTAGAAGTTCTGCGAAATTGAAACAGCTTCCCTCTAGGGAGCCATGCAAAGTATTTAAAAAAAAAAGTGTATTTAAAAGTTCAGCATAAAATGTAAGCCTTGATAAATCTGGTAAACTATTACAGGGATTTCTGTGTCTTTACAAAGAGATATCCTAATATAATTATAAATTAACTTATAGTTTTTCTTACTATTTTACTAGCGTTTACTAGATGATCTCTGATCATCTGTGTTTATATGTTATTTAGACATTTTGTTTCAGTATCCATGTATTTACTTGGATGCTCATGCATCATTTCATTATTTTACTCTCGATTTAAAACAGTATTAAATGTGAACAACAGTAAGGTGCTGTCATTTTCATTTTATAGAGGTTCATTGTTTCCCATTTATGTGTTTATAACATCGTGAAAGGGGTACTAAATATATATTGTGTTATTTACTCTAAATATTGACTTCTTTTTCTTTACAGATTCCTATAACTTTAGGTGTAATCCTAAATTCTTATTACGATGTGAAGTTTAATTTCCTTGGAATGGTGTTTGCTGCTCTTGGTGTTTTAGTTACATCCCTTTATCAAGTGGTTGGTAATTTTTTTTCTCTTATGTGCTTTTTAGCAGATTTCATATGTTTTGAAGCTGTATCCCAAGGTTTAGAAAATACAGTATAGAGACAATAGACTGTTGGGAAGAAAGCATAATTGCATAAGTTGACACAAGGTGAAAAGAAGAAAGGATACAGAGAGACTTGGGTGTATGATGCTCATCAAATACCTACTTGTTTGTAAGTGTATAATGCCCAGGCTTAACCATCTGAGTTTGGGGTGAAACTATTCTTAATTCTGGGAAATACTAATAACATGAGTAATAAGAGTTTTTACTTGAGAACTAAGCTTATTGGTTATAGTTACAATTTCTTCTTTAAAACATTACTGTGAACAAGTATACTTTCAAAATTTAAAGAAGGAAAACTTTAAATTTCTAGATTGTTACAAAAAAAAAAGCAGCTGCTACAACTTGTCTATCAGCTTCTATTCGTTGGTCTGTATGAATAGAGAACTTTATAGTAATGGCTGTCTCACTTCTTATACTTTGCATCTGGCATTCATTCAAAAATATTTTCACGAATTCACTTTTCTCATCATAAATTCCCAACAGCTTTCCGTTTTGGTCTCCTGAAGTAAGGAAGAAGGAAAAATAACTTGGTGTAGGTTGTAGTGAAACAGTATTCTCTCTATACTAAAAATTGTGGACTAGAAATCCTAGGGTGTGTCTGTATGGGAAATGTAACCCAAAATGTTTTAACCAGTTTTACTGTTTTGACAAACTGCCACTGGTTGTAAATGGAAGCATTCTTGTTATGAACCTTGGCAGTTCATCAATACTGGCAACTTAAATGTTGTAATATTAATCACCTTAGAAACATTGTTGCATAAATTATTTGGTTGAATGTTATTTTTTTAAAGTGGCATAGAACACTTTAAATAATATAAGAAATGGAAGCATGAAAGGAGAGAGCCAGTGTATCCATGATACACCTTTACCCTGCAAAGGATGCTCAGCTTAGTGCTTTAGACAAGTTGTGTTTGGGTACAGTCTTAGGTATCTAGTGATGCTGTGACAGAAATAGCACCACTGTGTAATGTTAACAGAGAGGACTTATTTTCCAAAGTTTAAGAAGTTCCAGCTGAAGGTGCTGGCTCTAAGAAAAGGCTTTCTTTTTGTGAACTCTCTGGGCAAGTCCTTGTTTCTTCTCATCTCTTATTTCTCCATTCCTTGACACTCATCTTCCATACCTCCTTTACTTGATACTTGCTTGAATCTAAAAAAAAATTGATTGTAGACACATCCTACACACTAATACTGCCTAATTAACATTCTAGTCCCAAGTAGGATTGTAATCACTGGTATATATAATGTTAAATTAGATTGATCATACACAGAACATGAATCTGTACTCATGCACAACCCAAAACATACTCCAAAAACCAGTTGTTAGAACGAAGGGATATCGTGTGGTCTAAAATCAGGAAAGGTGTGTGTCACCGTTGTATCCTTTCTCCATATGTATTTAATCTGTGTGCTAAATAAATTGGAAAAATTGGACTGTATGAAGAAGAATTTGGCATCAGGATTGGAGTAAGACTCATCCACAACCTTCATTATGCAGATGAGACAGCCTTACTTGCAGAAAGTGAAGAGAGCTTGAAACACTTGCTGCAGGAAATCAAAGAACTTTCAATATGGATTTCTTCTCAATGCCAAAAAAGAAATCCTTATAACTAGATGTATAGGAAACATCATGATAGCTGGAGAAGAGATTGAAGTTGTCAGCAGTTTCATTTTACTAGTATCCACAGTCAACAAAACATGCTGCATTGGGACAATCTACTGTCAAAGACCTCTCCAAAGCACTAAAGAGCAAGGATGCCATTTTAAAGACTAAGGTGTGTGAAACCCAAACCATAGTATTTTCTCTTGCTTCCTATGCAGCTAAAAGTTGAACAATGAATAGGAAAAACCAAAGAAGAACTTATGCCTTTGAGTTGTGGTGCTGACAAAGAGTATTAAATAGCCCATAGACTCCCAAAAGAATTTAAAAATCTGTGATAAAGACATGCAACCAGAGTGCTCGTTAGAGGCCAGGTTGTGAAACTGTATCTCACCTACTTTGGACATGTTGTCCAGAAGGAGCCAGTCCTTGGAAAAAGACATTATGCTGGGAAAAGCACAGGGTCACAGAAAGAGAAGATCCTCAACAAGGTGGATTGGCACAGTGACTGTAACAATGGACTTGAATGTGGTAGAGATCCTAAGGATGCTGTGGGATATGACAAGGTTACTATCTGTTGTTCATAGGATTTCTATGATCTGTAGTCAACTCAGTGACACCTAAAAACAACTGTTTGTATCGTTATGACCATTTTTGTGCACACAAACCTCAGCATTTTTGTTGATTAGAACTAAAGAATTCTATATGGTGAAACTAGGCAGCTATTTGGAGGCAAGAGTTCTGAAGCTCCATCTCACCTACTTTGGGCATGTTGCCAGAAAGGACCATTCTTTGGAGAGGGACAGCATACTTGGAAGGGTAGCGGGACAGTGCAAGAGAGGAAGAGCCTGGATGAGATGCACTGACTCAGTGACTGGGGTATTTAGGGGTAGGTGTGTCAGAGACAATAAGATTGGCTCAAGATAGAGCAGGGTTCAGAGCTGTTCTATACAGGGTCACTGTGAGTTGCAAGCAACTTGATGGCATATAACAACAATAGCAAATGTTGTCTTAAAGGACTAGGCCTTTAAAAAGACTTCAATCTTGGAAGGGTGAAGGGTCAATGAAAGAGAGAAAGACCTTCAGGGAGGTGGACTGACACAGTGTCTTCAGCTGTGGATTTAAGGACCGATTGTGCAGATGATGCTGTTTCGGGTAAGATTTCACTATTACACATAGAGTCACTATGAGTCAGAGTTGACATGATGGCACCCAAAAAAAAATAAGTCAGATGGATCCTGGCTAAAAGCAAGGAATACCAGAAGAATGTCTATTTGTACTTTATTGACTATGCAAAGATGTTTGACTGTGTGGATCATGACAAGTTGTGACTGAAATTGAGAAGGATGGGAATCACAGAGCACTTAGTTGTGCTTATGGGGAACCTATACCTGGATCATGAGACTGTTGTGTGAACAGAGCAGGGTAGCACTGCATGGTTTAAAATTGAGAAGGGAGTGTATCAGGCTTGTATTCTTATTCCATACCTAGTCAGTCTGTATGCAAATTATCCAAGAAGTTGGACTCTCTGAAGAGGAGTGTGGGATCGGGATTGGAGGGAGACTCATCAGTAACTTATGTTATGCAATGACACAACCTTGCTTGCTGAAAGTACGGAGGAAGGACTTGAAGGAAGCACTTGTTGAGAAGATCAAGGAATGCAGCCTTGTTTGTCAATATCAAGAAAACAAAGAGTCTTACCACTGGACCAATAGGCTGTGTCATGATGGATGGAGATTGAAACTGTCAATAGCTTTCTCTTGCTTGTATCCACAATTAACACCCTTAGTACCAGCAATCAGGAAACAAGGAGACACATTGCACTGGGAAAATCTACAGTTAGGGACCCCTCCAAATTATTGAGGAGTAATGATGTCAGTTTGAGGACTTAAAGTGCATCTGATTCAGGCCATGGTCTTTCCAAGTACTTGCTATGCATCTGAGAACTGGACAGTGAAAAAGGATGATAGAAAAAGATTTGACACCTTTGAGCTTTGGTGGTAGAGAAGAGCACTGAACATCCCATGGACTGCCCAACGGAATGAACAGATATGTCTTGGAGATGGTGCAGCTGGAGTGCTCCTTGGAAGTGCTGCTTTGGGCATGTTACTACGAGGTGTATTCCTTGGAGGACATGATGGAGGGTGGAGGGTTGGTGAAAAAGAGAAAGACCTTAAACTAGGTGGATTGACATGGTGACTACTGCAATGGGCTCTTGTGTGTCAGAAGGTGGAAGGATGGCACAGGATATAGAACAAGTTTCAGAATTTTTGTTCATAGAGTCGCTATGAGTCGTACCCAATGCAACAACACCTAACAACAACAAATACCCCACAGAGTAGTATTTGAAATGAGATTAGCCAATAAATGAATGTCATTAATGGGTAAAATTTTCTCTTGAGAGTGAATGATTAGTTACTGTAACAGAATAGGCTTATAATCTAAGATAGTGGATGTGGATACAGAGTGGTGCAAAAGCATTCTAGAGATCTTTTGAAGAAAGAATTAGGACTTGGATGAATGTGAGAGTGGGGAAAATAAGGGATGTGATCCTTGGTAACTATCGTATCATTAAGTGCATGGATGTAAGAGGAACTGATCTTAACACAGTGACTACAGTAGCGGAAATGCTGAGACTGGTGCAGGATATAGCAAGGTCTGATCTGTTGTTCATGGGGTCACCATGAGTCATAGGCAACTCCATGGCACCTACCATGAGTCTGTAGAGAAGACCTGTGGCAGTGTTGTTGTTTGGTGCCGTCGAATCGTAGATGACTCATAGCGACCCTATGAACGAACAGCCTGAGCATTGTTCGTACATAGAGTTTCCAGAGGCAAGCCATTTTGGAAGTGGATGCCACTCCTGCTTCCAGGCTTGTTTTAGTCGGGAAGCTCCAGCCAACACTGTCCACCATGGGTACCCATTACCACAATTGGCATATCACTGTCACAGTCTTCAGCATCACAAGAGTTACCTCTGTACAGCAACGCACAGACCAGTGCTATACCACCTACAAGAATGTTTGACAGGAAAACAATTTGAACCTGGTCGAGGGCCGCAGATGAAAATCACTCACCTTTGGCTTGGTAGCATAACTTCTTTTCCACTAGGCCAACATAGCTCTCTCTTTGTCGTTGTCGTTGTTTGGTGTGTAGTCCATAGTAAATTTTACAAAGGCCACACTTCAACAACAATTTGAATCCACCTACAGTTCCCAGAAGAAAAGATGGTCATTCTCGTCCTGTGCTGTTTGTAATCTGGGAAACCCAGTGGTCAGCTATGAGTCAATTCCAACTTGATAGCAATGAGAGAGTTTATAGAAGGAATATGAAGTTATTTTAAACAAGTGGCTGCCAATTATCTGAGTGAAGGTAACCAGTAAATTGTTGAAGATGTGAACTTCAGGATGTTCAAAGAAGGAACTCAGAGTTGTTGATAATACAGATTTTAAAGATTTCAGCAAATCATGGAAGAAACTTGTCAGAAATTAAAAGGTCAGGCATGCACTGTAAAAATTGTAAGTGAAGGAAGAAGTGCATTTGATAAGATCAGGGAATTTTTTCCAAGAGAATTTTCAGGTGCTATAGAGAGAGCTGTTATTCATAGGGTTTTCAGAGGCCTGTTCTTTCAGAAGTGGATGCCCAGTCCTTCCTAGTCTGTCTTAATCTGGGAGCTCCACTAAAATCTGTCCACCATGGGTGACCCCTCAGGCATTTGACATACCAGTGGCTTTCAGCATCATAGCAACCCACAAGTACAAGCGGACTGATAGACAAGTGCTGTACTAATTAGAACAATGATAAACAAGCAAGAATACAGATATCCAAGATACAAAGTAATTAGCAATATGCAGATTACTTCTACAGTATAGCAGACTGACAGGTATGATGCCTTTAAGCTGTGATGTTGGAGAAGGGGGCTGAAGATTCCATGGACTACCAGAAGAACAAACAGGTATGTCTTAGAGAAGGTCCATCTAGACTGCTCCTTGAACGCAAAGATGAAGAAGCTTTATTTCATATACTTAGGGCATGTACCTAGGAGAGATTATTCCTTAGAGAGAGATATCATATATGGAAATGGGGAGCGATGACGAAGGAAAGGAAAACCCTCAACTAGGTGGATTGACATAGTGAATGCAGCACTGGGCCTGAGTGTGTCAGAGACTCTGAGGATGGCACAGAATAGGACAGTGTTCAGATCTGTTGTTCATCAGATCACTATGAGTTCGATTCAACCCAAGAGAGCCTATGAACCCTAGTAGTGCAGTGAAGCACGAGCAGCGAAGCATTGAGCTGATAATCAAAAGGTCAATTGTAAAAGCCCCACCAGCCTTTCCTTCAGAGAAAGATACAATCATCTGCTTCCGTAAAGATTTGCAGACTCAGAAACCCAATGGAGCGAGTCTGCTCTGTCCTGCAAGTTCATTGTGAGATTGAACAGTTCTGCAATGTGTAGGGCAGAGAGGGCCAGCAAGAAGAGGGCTGGGAAGCCCTTGAAATTTTGCAGTTGGATGTGGTTAAGTGTCCTCTGGAGGAGCAGTTTCAGTAGTATAGTGATACTGTGCAGAAGCAGCCAGCTTACACTGCAGTGAGATCACTGATCAGACAGTTCTGTGGGAAAGGCATATGCAGCTGTCCGGGGAGGTGGTTAAAGAATGTGCACATACTTGGCATCTGGTTTTGCCCACTGCTGTATCCAAGGAGAAGCAGGTGAAGAATAAATCCTCTGACCTTCTTAGCCACACAAGACTTAGTTGAAGGCTAGCAGGAGTATGTGCCAGCTTCCCTGCTTTCCTGTTTTTGTCTTGATGAATTTCTGTAGACAGAGTCTACGTAACAGGATGCCCAGACATACAGGAAGAAGAGCTGTGTAGGAGGTGTTAGATTCACAAGCCTTGCTGTTCTTGCCAGATCTTGCTCACAGTTGCACGAGGCTTTCCTTAAAGCCTCCTTTCCCGTCGTGTTCGTGAAGCGTTTTGACGTCTGATGGGATTTGAGGTTGGACACACTGGTTCTGCTGAATAGTGTTACCGTTTTAGGGTTGGTGATTTATGGAGGACGGGTGGATTACCCACAGAAAAGTCATGCACATTGAAGAAAACTCTCTCTACATTCGTTGGATTTTGAAAAGTGAATCCAAAGAGCTTTCTCCTTTTCAAGCTACTCAATTCCTCCCTTGTTTCCCAAAAATCTTAGATGCTGGTGTGTCCTTATATTTACTTGCCTTCATTTATTATGACCAGGAGAGAAAAGGAGAATTTTCTAGAACATTTTCTTGTGATTTATATTCAGAATTGCAGAGAAAATTATCTTCCCATTCAACAGTTTATATACAGCTACATTGTCGCATTACTTGGAATTCTCCTGTACTCTCCCCACATCTTATGATTCCCTTGATTCCATTTATCCGTTATTTTTTTCTCTTCTCCTTCCTGCCTTCTGAACTTTGGTTTTAGAAAAATGCTACCCTCTTGGTTTTTCTGAGTTCATTCCTCATGGGTGTTACTATTCAGTCTCAAGGTCTGTCTGTTGTTAGGCTGAACGGTTTTCTGTGGGAGTGGATTCAGTTCCATGTTTGAAGGATGCCTGAGGCCCACAGTATCAGGAAGTTCTACAAATCCTTCAAACTAGTAAGTCTGACCTTTTTTTTGAGTTTACTTTTTTTTTTTTTACATTTTTCTATTTCTCTGTCCAGAACTTCCTGCCATGGTCCCGATCAGAGCAGTTGGTGGTGGTAATCCAGCGCCACCTTGTTCTTGCTCTCTGGCTAATGGAGGCTTTGGTTGGGTGGTTGGTCTCTTTCTTAGTCTCTTAGTTCTTTGAACTAGTTGTTTCTCTGGGTCCTTGATTTTCTTCACTCTTCTTTGCTCCAAATGAGAAGAGACTAATAGTTGTGCCTTCCGTGACAGCTTCCAAGCTTTTTAAGACCCTGGTTGCTTATCATCAAACACAGGCAGAGGCAGAGAAGCTGCATCCAGAGCCATGTCCTCGGCCTCACTTGCCTGGAACCCATTTGTGCTCCAGTCCTACAAGAATCTGGGTTGGGGGCTCTTTAAAACCATAACGGGAAATAATAAACAAAGGAAATCTGCTCACCCTTAGAAGAAAGAAAGAAAAACTTTATGAGACCAAATTTCCCAGAGCTAATGATTAAGGATTTATTTAGGCAGGCAAATCTGTAATTAATTAGGTTTTCCTTCTTCCCCCAGTCCCCGCCCCACACTCCTCTCTCTGTGACTAGAGTTATACCTTTTGTTTTTTAAGTTGATTCTGCCTAACCTGTTTTGTCTACCTTTCAGTGGGTAGGAGCCAAACAGCATGAATTGCAAGTCAACTCCATGCAGCTGCTGTACTACCAGGCGCCCATGTCGTCCGCCATGTTGGTGGTGGCTGTACCCTTCTTTGAGCCAATGTTTGGAGAAGGAGGAATATTTGGTCCCTGGTCAGTTTCTGCTTTGGTAAGTTCTAAATGTGTCAAAGAAACAGCCTAATAATAATCTTGCAATTGCTAATGCTACATTTAATCTTCAGAGTACTGTTTTATATACATTCTAATATTTAATCTTCATCATTATCCCGGAAGGAAAGCACAATGAAAGATTGTTTCTTAACTGAGGAAATTAAAGCACAGCGAGACTAAAGGACTTGCCTGAAGTCAAACATCAAGTCAATAGCAAAATCAAAATTAGAATGCTGATACCTGGTAGTGTTCTAACCGCACAGCCCACAGATAATTTGGAATTTTAGGTTTCTTTCACAATGAAATACAGCTCTAATGGTTTTAACAATATAAGTAGGAAGGGTTCATTGTATAGTTTCTGACCATATATGAGCATACTTGAAAATAATAAAGTGAGGGGCCTGGAATCTTGCCACACTTAGCATTTTGGTGATGATCATGACGTGTGTGAGAGAAGATTTATATTAATGGGATCATATTGTATTGCTGTTTTTATTGTGGTTTCCTTTCCTCCAGTCTTCCTAGCTCACACTATTCCACGTCCCATTAGCCTGACTCTGACTGCATCCTGCAAGTGGTATATTAACATTCTAGCATTTGTACTTCTGTGGTTTTTCTCTTTGCCATTAGTATATTCCTACGACCCACGGCCCCAGCCCACACATACATACATATTAAAAACCCTCAAACTCATTGCCATCAGGTTGGAACCAATTCATAGCTGGCCCTCCAGTGGATTTTCATAGGCTGTAAATCACATGGGAGGCAATTTCCCATCTTCTCGCCATGGAGCCTCTGGTGAATCTAAACTGTCAGAGAGGTACTGCTTTTGGGTTTTAGCAAGGCAGCTTGCTGTGGGCTACGTAACCAGAGTTCTGATATGACTCCTCACAGACAGGTTAAAATTCTTTATACATTAATTAAAATTTTGCTTCTTTCTACAAAAATGGGATCATATTATCTGTGCTTTTCTGGATTTTGCTTTTCTCACTTAACAAGTCCTCATGAAGACTTCTCTAAATCATTCTTTTTTTTTTTCTTTTCTTGTTGTGTATCATCGAGTTGGATCCTACTGGTTCAGGAGGAGATTGCCCCTCCTTCGCCAGCAGAGCATCTGGTGGATTCGAACTGCACACCTTCGGGATTGCAGCACAGCTTCTTGCCACTAAGCTATCAGAGCTCCCTTTCTAAATCATTTATTATATGTCTTTGTAACAGTGCTTTTTTTGAGGGGGCATTAATTTTATTTGCAATTCTAAGCCACTACAGTGTTGGAATAAACATGTATACATGTCCTTGTATATTGTGTGCTCCTTTCCCTACCCCATGCAGTGGTCGTAAGAGTAGAATTTCCAGGTCAACAGGTATATGTACCTTGGGAACATTGTAAGTTGGAAAGTGAACAGGAATTTCTGCTTCCCATAATTTTAACCTTTGAACACAGGCAATGATAATGTCTTTGTTGCTGGTGGTATTAACTTAATAAACACTTCTACATAACTTTCTGTTTTCCAGGTAGTATTTTAAGCACTTTGCAACTAGTAATTAATCATCATTCACAGCTCTGTGGTGGATAGTGTTTATTATTTTATTTTTATTGATGAGCAAACTGGGTGACAATTAGATAACTGGCCCAAGATCACATAGCTAACCAACATAGAAAGCCAACATTTGAATCCCATTCTTGCTCCAGAGGCCATGTTTTATCCATTCTCCTATGCTGCCAATGAGCACACTAATAGAAAGGACAGAGTAGGCCTGCTACGTGAGAAGCCTAAGGCATGCGGGTTGCCATAGCTTTCTCCCAAGGAGCGATTGGTGGATGTGAACCGCCGACGTTTTGCTTCGCAGCCACACACTTACCCACTGCAGCACCAAGAGTCCTTTGAATACTTTGACACACTCCTCCCTGTTTCCAAAGTTTAAATCATTGGACCATTGCGGAGATAATATTTTTGCTTTATTTTATAGAAATTGTAACCATCTTGATCATCTGGTCCTCAGACCATTACAGCTTGTGGTGGTGGTGAGGGCAGCCAAGTGGATTTCAACTCACAGCAACCCATGTGCCAGAGCTGAATTTGCTGTGGAGGAAACGGACTCTCAGCTCCTTCTTCCATTCATGAAACTGTGACCCCTGACATATAGGAAATAAATGAAAGTAGCAGAAATGATAATTTTTAATAAATCAAAGCTAAGAGCACAGCAGTCTGGATCCACTTACTGAGAGAGTAGGCTGCATTCCTTCCTAGTGTCCCTGGAGATATTGCTAGCTCAGAGCAATTGGGAGTAAGCAGCTGTGTTTTTAATGGCACATCAGGTCATCAAGATACAATTATGTCAGATTCTATGAACTCAGTAGAATTAAGAATGACAATGATTAAGTTTTAGATGTAAGTCTAAAAAATTTTAAAATCTTTAAGGAGCAAGTTTTTCTTCGTTGAAATGGCATATATAATAGACTTCTCAGTGATATAAGACAAAGGAAGTCTTCCTCTACTTGTGTTCATAGGACATGGATCTTTGGGTCATGATCATGGGCCTTTGACATCCTTATGACTGCTGGCTTAAGAATTAATAAAGGTCAGTTGGGACAGAAATAATCTTCAAATCAGATATGTACTCTTTGGAGCTTAAATTTCTTTTTTTTTCACCCTAAGTAATTATTTACTTACTTTTACTACTGTATTGTGCTGTGTAGGTGGGCATTTATAAAGCCAGTTAGTTTTCCAATTAATAATTCATAAACAAATTGTTCCGTGACATCGGTTGCAGTTCCCACACTATGTGAACATTCTCCCATTACCTTTGTGGTTCCCCAGTTTCTGCCCCTCTTTGTCTTTTCACCATTGGTTTGGGGCAAGTGTTGTCCTTTGGCCTCTTATAGTAGACTGTTTATAATATAGAGTACATCCTTCAGGTGTTAGTGTTAGTTTATACTTTTGGAATTTAAACTCCTGTACTATTCAGAGGTAACCAAAATTTGCATCTAAATTATCTTCCCAATAAAGGAAATAGCTTTATAACATCTAAATTGTGGCATGGATTCAAACAGACCCTTGTTTGTATATACAGTGATGCAGCCCACTTTCCCCCTGTCATCAGCCAGGTTGGTTATTCACTGTCCCATGAACATCCCTGGAATGCCTCCCTGGGATGCCTCCACACTGTGGCACATGGTCTACCCTCTTTAAGAATCTATACAGCATCATCAGATCCAAAGACTTTTCTCTCCCAGCCCAAACAGCGATCTCCTACCTTGAGATTTCTGTAAGGTCAGTTTCATGTGTTTGACTATGATGATGTAGCACTCAGGGCTCCATTTCTTTTATTAGCTGAGCTGAAGTCTTAGTGGTTCTCTATTTTGGAGAGTTTGAGAGGTTGCCTAGAGGCTGGATGGGCTAAGAGTTCCAGAAACAGACTGCCTGGGCTTAGATCTCAGTCCTGCCACTTCCTGGCTATGTGATTATAGGCAAATTACTTTCCCTCTTTGTGCTGTCTTTTCCCATCTATGAGAAAAAGATAGTATTTAATGTTGTCATTGATAATTTTGAGAATTGAAAGGGTTAATGTAAGTAGAGTATCAAAGAACAATTGTTGGATTTCCACAATACATGGTAAGTGCATAGCAGTAAGTACAGCCTGTGGTTATAATGGTTTTTATTGTGTCTTCTGGACTTTTCTAAGCTCTATGAGGGCAGGTACCTTGAACATACTATATGCCTAGCCTGGCCTGCTTTTTTAGATAGCAATGAATGTTTACTGATTTCATTTCAATAACAGTTACAGTGTACTTATTGTACATTAGAGAAAGATCTGAAGAATACATATCAAGGTGTCAGTTAACACTGGTGAGTGATTGGGATTATGAGAATTGTCTTTTTGCTTGCTTTTATGTTCTGATTTTTCTATAATATATATGCATTGCTTTTATAGACTAGTAATAATAGTAACACTATGTAATGAACATATTATAAAAGCTATATAGTTTATATAGATCGTTGTAATAATTTATAAATTATTATAATTTACTCCCCAATTGCATAAGAAAAATGAAATTAAATTCACATTCACAAGCAGTATGTTAATACAGAATTTTGCATTAATCCATACAGACAGAATTACATTTCTAAATGCTTTTCATTCTGTTCTTTCAATCTTTTGATTCTGGCTGTCTCCCAAAGGCATTATTTTTTTTTTTTTTTTTTTTTAAAAAAATTATATTTATTATTTTTTCATTGTTGAACATTTTCTTCCCTCTCTTCCCTCCCCCTTCTCGAACCCATCCCACAGTGCCCCCCTTCTTCCAGATTGTTGTCATATACATAACACCTAATCATATATTCCTTTAGGACACTTCTTGCCTTCTTCTAATGGAGTGTTCATTATCTATCCACTCTTTTCCCATTCTTTCCCAAACTCCCCCATGTCTGTCCTATTTTATAATAGCAGTGTTATTCAGTGTCCTTTTGTAACTGAGATAATTCACTCAGCATAACTCCCCCATGGTGTGTAGTGTTTTATGAGTTCATTGTTTCTCAATGCTGCATAATATTCCAGTGTGTGAATGTACCATAGTTTTTCTGTCCATTCATTTGTTGATGGGCACATGAGTTGTTTCCATCTCTTTGCTGTTGTGAATAACACAATAAAAGTGGGTGTGCAACTTTTTTTCCTTGTATTTAATGGGTAATGTTTGAGTTTTTTAAAACAGCTTAATGAAAATGGTGCAACCCCTGTGGAAAGCAGTATGGCGCTTTCTCAAAAAGTTGCAAATAGAGATACCATTTGACCCAGCAATTCCACTACTGGGAATATACCCTGAAGAGACCATAGCTGACATCCAAGCAGATATATGCACACCCATGTTTATTGCAGCTTTGTTCACAATAGCAAGGAGTTGGAAACAACCTAAGTGCCCATCAACAAACGAATGGCTAGAGAAGCTGTGGTATATTCGCACAATGGAATACTATGCTGCATTAAAAAACAAGGAACTCATGCAATATTATTCAAAATGGTTGACTCTGGAGAATATTATGCTGAGTGAAATATCCCAGTCACAAAAGGACAAATATTACATGATGCCACTGTTGTAGAATGGGACTGTCCTTGGGGTTGGGGAGAGACTGAGTAAGAAGGGTTCAATAATGTATACTGCACTGAAACAGAGGAGGGAGAGAACCGTCTAAAAGAGAGATGTAACTGGGTATTTCTGTCATCACAGGAGACTAGATCGAGGGCTGCATGGTGGAGGGGACCTGGGGGAGTGTTTGTAAAACAATGAAAGAATCTTTTCTTTTACTTTTCCATAATTTTTGGACTCATGTACTTATAACTTGTTAGTCAAATTTGTGTCTTCTAGGTTGCAACACCCCCATGATACATCTTGAAGGATATGTACATGTACAGCCAAGCACAATCAATAAGAGTGCATCTGAATTCCAAAATCAATCTCCATAATAGTCTACGTGTTTCCTACTGCCAAAGGGGCCCTATAGAGTAGTGAGAGAAGATCTTCACCCTGAAACCCACAGCGTCCCTTTTCAGCAGGAAGTAGCTAAGAGAATACGCCGTCCCCTTTTCCTTATGACTCAGGATGAAGTATCTCTCAGGGAGGAGTGATAGGGAATGGCAAAGGATACACTGACAAAGAAGATTAATCAGAACTGGCTTTGACAAGCACTGTGGCATTTGGACAAGAACAAACTGGGAGGAGGGTAGAGAGAATAGTGCAACAATGAATGAGTGGAAGCCCAAAATCTCTGTAAATGTTTATGAAAATTAATAAAATATAATTATAGAAAGAAAAAAAAAACAGCTTAATGAAAGGAGCTCTGGTGGCCTAGTGGCAAGAAGCTGCACTGAAATCCCAAAGGCGCTCAGTTCCAATCCATCAGATGCTCTGGTAGAGAAGGAATGGCAATCTCCTCCTGTACCAGTTGGATCTGATTTGACAGTATACACACAACAATAATAATAAAATAAATATAATGAAATTTGGTTTTGCTTGACAATTACAGTGACTGTGCCCAGTTAGCACTAATGAGTCTTTCCATTTATTTGTAGGTTATGGTACTGCTGTCTGGAGTGATAGCTTTCATGGTGAACTTATCAATTTACTGGATCATTGGGAACACTTCACCAGTCACGTATCCTTTTCATAATAAAAAATGCATAATCTTTTGTATTTTCCAAAATATTCACAGTCACTGTCTTATTCTAGTCTCATACTAGCCACCCTGTGTATGGCCTGAGTGAGTAGAGTGGGTTATTTTTTAGTCTTTTATTACACCATTTCACATTAAAGTCCGTAAAAATTTACAGAAGTATGAATGGGAGAAAAGACATAGCTTTCTTTACCATGAATGGCTTTTTAGATTTTAAGTAACAGTATTTATAAAACTCTTTTTTTTTATAAAACAAATACAGTGCTATTTCTTACAAATAGTAGGTCAAATAAATATTTGTTGAGTGAATGGTGGAAAAGGGACTTGGGTTTTAATCAGTTTTCATCCGTCTAGAGTAATAAAGTAGGAATATCTTTAATTGTGATTACAAAACATATTTTCTAACTCTTGGCATCCAACTTTGTGTATTTTGTACTAAATTTGGAGATGAGTGTGCCTGTTTTTCTGAATTTACATTAAGAATATAAGTCACAGTTGAAGGTGTAGGTCCAGTTCAGCTGCCCATTCCCCACCCTTCTGCCTGACATTGTGTTCTCTTGGTAGTTCATTCTGCCTCCACCCCTTCGCAGGTACAAGGTGTGCATTTCCACAGACTGGAAAGATGTTTTAGTGACGTTGTGTCAGAGTTTGAGTGAGTAAACACTGACATGCTAGCAAATATGCAGTATTAGTTGCTAAGTATCAAGAAGGAGCATTAACAATGGTAATAATTATAAATTTTTTAAAAAGATATTAAATATTAAAAAAACCCAACACTTACTAATTGTTTATTTTATGCTAAACACTATTTGAAGCACTTTGATTAGATTAGGCTGTTGATTTCTCACAGTGACTCTGTGAAATGAATTCTACCACTTTATTTACACAAGAGTAGAGACATGCGAGCTCTGGTGACCTAGCTGTAAGAAGCTACACCTCTGATCCAAAGGCACATGGTCTGAGTCCACCAGCTGCTCCAACGTAGAAATGAGCAATCTTCCTCCCATGACATTTACTCCCCTGAAAACTTGCTGGAAGGTCTGTTGTAAGTCAGTACCAACTCAACCCCACAGAATAGCAACAGCAAATTGAGACACAAAGAGATTAAATAGGGCATTTAAGGTAGCTCAGTTGAAAAGTATAGCATCCAGATTTGAGCCCAAGTGGTCTGATTCCAGAACTTTTGCAGCACCAAGACATGCCTTGATTAAGAAAACATTCATTCATTCAGTAGGTATTTATAAAATATTGTATGAATCATTCATTATTATAGGATATTTTACTGAGTATCTGCTATATGTCGCAGGCAGCTTGACAGCACATAACAACAACAACAGCATCTGTTACACAGGGAGCTGTGATGGCTCTGGTAGCAAGAAGCTGTGCCACAATTCTGAAGGCATGTAGTTTAAGACCACCAGCTGCTCTGTGGGAGAAAGATGGGCTGTCTCCTCCTGTGCAATTAACTGCCTCTGAAAACCCACTGGAGAGTCATCCATGGGTCGGTTCCGACTCTATGTACACAACAACAACAACCATCTGCAATAGGTCAGGTAATGCAGATACAATCTCCGCTCATAACTGTTGAGTTGGAACTGATTTATAGCTGACCCTCCAACAGGCTTTCAGAGGCTGTGAATCACACAGGAGGAATTGCCCATCTTTCTTCCACAAAGCATCAGGTGGATTCAGACTGTTTGTTTTCCCTGTGGGTATGTTGTTGTTATGTGCCATTGAGTCCACTCCGACTTAGTGACCCTGTGTATGACAGCTCTGAACCCTGCTCTACCATGAGCTAATTCCATTGTGTCTGACACACTTTGCCTTATAACTCCAGTCTCTTATTAGTCAATCCATTTCATCCAGGGTCTTCCTCTCTTGTGCTGTTCCTCCACTCTTCCAAACATGATGTCCTTCTCTAAGGACAAAGTACATAAAACCTTTACACTTACAGGCTTACCTTCTGGTAAGGAAGATAAACTACAAATGAGGAAGGGGTATATTATGTTACCTATTAATGATGAGAAAAAGTAAAGCAAGGAGTTATGAACTTCTTAGGGGACAGGGTTCAAACTTCAGGCTGGGTAGCCAAGAAGCTATCACTCAGAAGATGAGTTTAAAGATCACAAGGAAGTGGGGTTGCTACACGGCAGGCAGAGGAAGCAGCAGGTGAGAGGTGGTTGTTGTGGTTGTGTGTCGTTGAATCGGAACCAACTCAAAGCTGACTCTGCAGCAGGCTTTTAGAGGCTTGTAAATTGCATGTGAGGAGATTGCCGATCTTTGTCTCACAGAGCAGTTGGTGAATTCAAGCCTTAATGCCCTTGGGTAGGCAGCACTGCTCCTGCCAGATGGCCACAAAGAAGCCCGTACTGTGAGCCAGGGGGCAGGGGTGTCTCCAAGAGGGAACCAGGAGCCAGTTTGAGTATGAAGCCTGTTACTCTGAGTGAAATGAGAAGCCATTGGCCTTGGGAACAGAGAAGTGGCATGATTTCTAATAAGATTACCTTGGCTACTATGTGGAAAATAGACTAAAGCCGAGCTTTTCAGCCGGCAGCACTATTGACACTTGCTTTGGTACCATCGAGTCAGAACCGACTCATCACTGACCGCCTAGCAGATTTTCAGAATTGGTCCATCACACAGGCGGAGATTGCCCACCTTCCTCCTGCAGAGTAGCTGGTAGGTTGGAACTGTGTGCCTTTTGTTGGCAGCACAGCTCCTTATCACTAGGCCACCAGAGCTCCCTTCTAGGACCTTCTGGCTGGATAAGTCTGCTGTGGAGGCCCGTCCTGTGAACTGTAAGACGTTTTAGGAGCGTCTCTGCCTTCTGTATAGTAGATACCAATGCCACCCTCATTCCCCCTCTCTAATAACCACAGATGTCTTGTGACATTTCTCCAGTGGTGAAATCACCCTTGTTTAGAGCTGTTGGACTGAAGGATGCAAGGGAAAGAGGTGGACCCTGGAAGGTTGCTGCAGTCTGACAGTCACCAGGGTGGGAGAAGTAGACCTAGGTGAACGAAAGCAAGAAGTGACTGATGGATGTCAGTAGATAGACAATTTGATAGTTTCTCTTTTTAGGAATTAGAGACACAGGATTTATTGATAAAGCATATGAAGAACAAGGGAGGAGACATGATGTCTCGCAAGGGTTTTGGCTGAGCACCTGGTGGAGCAGAGTTGCTTTCAGCTGTGAAGGGACAGCTTGATGGTGGTTTGGAGGGGAAGGGGAAGAGTAGAGGCTCAGTTTTGAAGCTATTCTGTGTGAGTGACCTGTTTGATATTAAGGTGGGGGTGTGAGCAGACAAAAGGATTTTTTTAAAAAATCCAACTCTCAGAGTTGAGGGGCTCGAAATATTCCATAAGGAGTGTGTCGTTCCTTAATGTAGTGAGATTGGTATCCAGAGGTAGAGTCCTGAGTCACTCCATTGATCAGAGTTGAGAAGGGAACTAGGTGAAAGACCAGGAGGAGCAATTAGGTGGAAGGATGAAGAGTGGCGCAAAAGCCAAGTGAGCAGAGTATTCCAAAAGAGAAGGTCAGATGCCACTGACAGGTCTCCTAGAGCAAGACCGATGGTCAGTGGTGGGATCTGGGGAGAAAGAAATAACTGATGATTTTGACAAGAGCAGTTGGGTGCCAGGGTGAAACCCTGACTGGAATGGAATGGAGAGTCGGAGGAGAGGAACTGGAAATAACAACTTAGACCACTCGTTTTTTCAGTTTATAAGAGAGTCCACTGAAGCTTTCTCTTCACATTTACCTGCTATGGAGTATAAATATCTTTAGCCCATTTTAACTACTTAAGAGAGAGGCTGAGGAATAAACACATTTAAAGCTAAAGTGGTAGGATCCAAAGTGGTTGGTGTATGTGAGGCTAAGTCAAAACTGAATTGAGATCATAACTGAAATGAAGCATATTTTATTTTGGTTCTAATTCAAGTCCTTGGGAAATCCTGTGTCAGGAAATCATGAAGTCTGTGCAGCAAGCAGGTTTTCTTGGTGAGGTGTGGTGTCACCAGCAGGAGCTCCTGGGCTACTAGACAAGCTCAAAACAGGAAAGAACTGGGCTTTGCGGTCAGATCGATCCAGGGGTGAATTCCCAAGTCTGACATTACTTACGGGTCCATGCAAGTCGTGAGAGCTCTCAGGTCACTTAAAAAGTGGGGAAAAGAATATCTACCATGTTTGGCTCCTCATAAGGAAAGAATATATGTCCAGGACCTTAAAATAGCCAAACCCAACCCATTGCCGTCAAGTTAACCATGAATCATACAAACTCTAATGACAGAGTAGAACCACTGTACAGGATTTCCAAAGCCGTGATATTTGTTGAAGATAGTCCAGAAACTGTTAGAATCATATGTTGACAAAGAATTGCCAGAAATTCAGACTGGGATTAGAAGAGGCCATGGCACCAGGGATATCATTGCTGATGTCAGATGGATCCTGGCTGAAAGCAGAGGAAATCAAAAGGATATTTATTTGTGTTTTATTGACTCTGCAAAGGTATTTGACTGTGTGGTTCATAACAAACTGTGGTTAACCTTGAGATGAATGGGAATTCCATTATTCATAAGTATGCTTATATGGAATCTATACCTAGACCAAGAAGCAGTTATCCAAACATCAAGGGAACACTGCATGGTTTCGAATTGGGAAAAGTGTGCATTAGGGCTGTATCCGCTCTCCATACCCATTCATTCTATATTCTGAGCAAATCATATGAGAAGCTGGGCTTTATGAACAAGAGTGTGGCATCGGGTTTGGAGGAAGGCTCATCACCAGCTTGTGTCATACAGATAACACAACCTTGCTTGCTCAAAGTGAGGAGGGCCTGAAGCATTTGCTGCAGAAGAGCAAGGACTGCAGCCCATGGATTGCATGTCAACATCATGGAAACAAAATCCTCACCAATGAACCAACAGGCAACATTATGATAGAAGGATAAAAGATTGAAATTGTCAATAATTTCATCTTGCTTGGATCTACAGTCAGCACCACGCTTGGTTGGAACCACCAGTCAAGAGATCAGGAGATGTAATGTGTTAGGAAAGTCTGCTATCACGGATCTCCAATGACCTGCAGAGCAGTTTAAAGACTAAGGTGCACCTGATTCTGAGGTGCACAGTCTTTCCAGTCACCTGCTGTACATTTGAGAGCTGGGCACTGATTAAGGATGACAAGAAGAATTGATGCATTTGAGTTGTGGCGCAACAGAAGGGTGTTGAATATGCCATGGACTGCCAAAAGAGCAAACAGCTAAGTCTTGGAGAAAGTGCATCTGGCGTGCTCAGTGGAGGCAAAGATGGTGAAGCTTCATCTCACACATTTTGGACATGTTGAAAAGGATATTACCCTTGGAAAGGTAGAGGGTCAGCGAAGGAGAAGAAGACCCTCAAAGACATCACAAATGAGATAGTTTGATACCGTTTCAGTCACAGTAGACTCAGATATGTCGAGGATGGTCAGGATGGCACAAGACAGGACAGAGTTCAGATTGGTTGTTCATAGGGTCGCTATGAGTTGTGCTTGACTCAACAGCCCTTAATAGCAGCAACATGGTTTTTATGGAATCTGACTTCCTACTTTCTCCCATGGATCAGCAGGTGGTTCAAACTACCAGCCTTTTAGTTAGCAGCCAAGCACTTAACCACCATACCACTAAGGGTCATGTGTGAAGCATCAAGTAGTTATTTATTACATGTAAATAATGTTGTTTTATGTCTATATATCTATGTGTATATATGTGTATATATAACTATTATTATAGCTAAAAGATGGTATTTAGTATATGCTGGCTGCTTGGCGTGTATTAACTCATTTAATCTTCACAGTAACTCCGCGAGGTAGGTACTATATTATCCTTCTGTGATAGATTAGTGTAGTACCCTGAGCACATGAGTGATAGCTATTTCTAGTGTTGTTCTTGAGTGGATGGATATGAATCAAGCATACTAGATGTGTTTGTATTGAGTTTGCTCCCTCTTGTAGTTATCTAATGCTGTAACAGGCTTACTACAGGTGGATGGCTTTACCAAACAGAAAGTTATTCTCTGACTCTTTAGAAGGCTGGAAGACCAGGTTCAGAAGACCTCCTCTAGCGGAAGGCCCCTCTCTGGGGATGTGGAGGATGTAAAGTCCTTGTTTCCTTCAGCCTCTGTAGACCCAGCATTCCCTGGACACCTCCGTGTTGTTCCATGTCAAGGAGTTTGATCACGGAGGGGACTCAAATCCAAAAGATACACTCCAATCCTGGCAATTATTTTTTGATGTTCCTAATGATACCCAAGCCCTCTTTGCTAGCTTTCCCCTGATTTTATCTCTCATGAGATATAAGGTCTTATAAGCCACCCTAGGTCAACACTTTACATCTAGTTAGGGCTGGATGGTCTTAGAGAATGTTACATTCCACCCTTAATTCTACCACTGTTTGCTTTATCAGATCTTAGGGGATCAGTACATAGCTCCACATTATATCTGTGGTTTTTGTTGTTGTGTATCATTAAGTCAGAACAGAACCATAGCTGACCCTCCAGTGGTTTTTCAGAGACAGTAAATCAGATGGGAGGAGACTGCCCATCCTTCTCCTCTGGAGCAGCTGGTAGATTCGAGCCCATGTGCCTTGGGATTGTAGCGCAGCTTCTTAACACTAGACCACCAGAGCTCTCTTATAGCATTAGATACGTGTATTTTTAGGGAATATAATCAATCTGTGGCACCTTTTGCTATCCCAACACATCTCACCTCATTTGCCATGAAAGTATTACTAGAAATGCCACTAAGACAAAGTCATAACTTGCTGTGCAAAAGTTCTCTTTCCTACTCTTTGTCTACAATTTGTTTCCCAACCTTTTATTGTAACCCATTTAACCTGTCTTTGAGAGGACTGACAGGGAGAGTAATGGCAGTCTTCTGTCAACCAGTTTATTGCTAAAACCTCCCTGAACAACCTAGGCTTGCCCCAACGCTTGATTGAAATTCTTGCTTTTTTTTTTTAATAAATGGCTGCTGTTCAGAGTATGTTTCATGCCAGTCCTTCTAGCCAGAGAAAGGCTTGACTCTGTGTGTGTGTCTGTGTGTGTGTGTTGAAAGTGAGAGATAGAGGAGAAGGGGACACTGTAGGGGTGCTGGTAGTGTTGGGGGTGGAATATAGCATCTAGCTTGTGATTGTTTTTGTCCTTATCTGAAACCTCAGCTATAACATGTTTGGACACTTCAAATTCTGCATTACCTTATTTGGAGGATATGTTTTATTTAAGGATCCGCTGTCAATCAACCAGGGTCTTGGCATCTTATGTACATTATTTGGCATCCTCACCTATACTCACTTTAAACTCAGTGAACAAGAAGGAAATAAGAGCAAATTGGTACAGCGTCCTTAACTGGGTGTTTGCATCCTTAACTGGGTGTTTGCGTCCTTAACTGGGTGTTTGCGTCCTTAACTGGGTGTTTGCAAAGAAAACAAAGTTGCCTCAAGAAGATGAGAAATGCTGTCAGATGTGCAAATTATTTTCAAGGGTGCAAAAAGGAAAAAAATAATAGTACAAGATTCATTGAATCACGGTTTGTAAGAAGTAACACAAAGGTAATTTTCTTAAATGTGACCTAGTTTTAGAGGAACTTTATAAAACTATTAATCCTCTGGAACAAAAATGATCATTCTTCTTTTCAAAGATGATTACATGAAGCTTATAGGATGATTTGTCTATCAAATGACATACATGAAATTTAAAATTCTATACTGTTGAAAATGGAATTAATATTACTGTAATGCAATTGTGATGTGTCAAAAATGTTCTGATTCTCTTAAGGAAGGGCACATAGGACATGCATAAAGTCCTCTCTCTATGCTGGAAGATGATTTCTCATTTTTGCCAAAGTTTTCAAGTCAATATTTAAATCTAGCACATCTATTTTAATTGGTTTCATATCATTTCAGTAGGAAACAAAGTGTTGAAGAGACTCAGCCCACTCCTGGCTGTCTAGTTGAAACGTCCAGCAGGTTTTCGGAGGCTGTCAAGGCTCTCAGTCACCCGGGAGGAGATTGCCTATCTTTATTGTGCAGAGCAGCTGGTGGATTTGAACCTCCAGCGAGGAGCCACCTTTGGCTTAGTAGCACAACTCCCTACCAGCTAGACCACCAGAGCTCCCTAAAAGAAATACTACATAACCAAAACCGAACTACGGTTTTTATAATAGCAGAAATAAGGCTCATTACCAAAATGAAGTGATGCCCCATCCCCTTATTTTCTACTCTGTTATCCTGACACTACCCATCCACGTGGCACTTTCTGGCCCTAATCCCCCAGAGTCAGGGCTCCACTATTTGGGACCTTATCCTCACATCCCCTGCCAATTAGATGGGCACCAGCCTCCACTGGTTCTCACTGCCTCTGGTGCGTTCCATAATTCGCTAGACTGACTCACCGAACTTGCAGAGACTACCTCTACCTGCAATTATCTAGTTATTACTGTAACCTGAAAGGATAGAATGTGGAGAGGAGCATCCATGAGGCCTGGGAGAGAGAAGTCCCTGCACAAGACTTCCTTTGTCCCCACGCATGTCTTGTCATTCCTGGAAGCTGAAAGGAAGATCTTCCAGGGTCCTGTAATCACTGGGGCCCTATGCACATGAAGGACTGAAGCCTCAGTACATATGCACAAATCAGTGTGTCTGACTGGCTCCCTCTTGCCTCCCTTTCTGGGGTTTGCTGCCAGCATGGGGCCTTATATAGTCACAGCTCATGTATTTTCTTTAAAGTGTTGCCTGGCTCCTTTATGAAAGTCCCATGATTGCAAGGAAATTGACCTGTTTTCAAAAACCAGAGGAAAAAAGCCAAATCAGGTTCTCTGGCCTACAGTAGGTATTCTCTTAAGCTTTCACTAAACTGGAATCTCTATGTGGAGTTAGTAAACAAAACAGCCTGATGGGATTAAAAAACCAACTCATTGCTGAACTGACTCATAGCTGGCCTTCCAGTGGATTTTTCAGAGGCTGTAAATGGCATAGGAGTACACTTTCTGTCTTGCTCATGAAGAGCAACTGTGGCTTTGAACTGTCTACCTTTGACTTGGCAGCGCAACTCCTTATCCACTAAGATCACTAATGCAAAAAGAAGGCAGTGGATGGAATTGAAGAGGTTTCCTCTTAGTAACAGCTTCCCAGCCTCTCAGAGCATTTCATAGTCATTACTTTTATTCTAAAATTTCTAGTGAAAACGTAGACAACAAAACAGAAACCCATTCAACAAAAGAGCAAATTACAACAAATACTCCTTATTAAATTAACAAAATTATTCTTTGATCCTTATTAAATGAATGAAATTATTATTCTTTTGTTTATATGGTGATTTAATACTCTCCCCTGCCACCACTCCCTACCATCTTTGCAGCTTACAAGGAGCTTTGTTGAAAATTTGAAGTAAATGGTACTAAGGTGGATGAAGGAAAAAAGCCTTTGTGGAAATGGGGGAAATGTTATCCAAACACCAAACAGAAACTTAGTGAAACTTGGAGGAGAGATTTAAGAGAGAAACAGTATTTAATAGTTCTTTGAATTTTCGAAGGATTTTAAAGAATTGGGATATGGCAGGAAGCCAGTACTCGTAAAGAAACACTGTGCCATGTATTTAATTTTAAGATATATCCCTGTTTTTCCAAATTCTTTTAAATGAAAAGTAATGTCAGAATACTTAAAAATTTAAAAATAATCAGCAGTGTCATAAGAAATTGAGAAAGATAACCTTTAAGTGAAGGGTGGAAAGGGCAGAGTTATATATATTAGATACATTCCTTAGACTGGGGTTGTTTTGGTTTTGGTTTTGTTTTTGTGTTTTTTTTCCTGGCTCATTTTAAATGAAGACTCACTGATTTCATCCAAATCACAAGAAAAAGAAAAAACTAAACAACAAAGTGCAGAATATAGATGCAAAAAAAGCCTCACTGGAAATTATTTTGACAGACTTTGAACTTATCAGTTGATCAGTTGTATGTGGCTTTTTTGGTCTTGTTATAAACAGTCTTTGATTCTTCCCTGTTTACAAAGGTACATTTATTGTACTGGAAAACAAGTACAAAGAAACTTGTCTTCACCAGATGAGCCTTTGGTAATATGTTTGTCTAAGAAACATTTTATGTGTATGTTTAATGTATAATTGTTTTGCAAAAACTGGAGAAAAGTATTTCAGCATGGTGAGCATAAATTATGCACTGAGAAAAGCTGAGTGGATTTGTGCCATGTATACGTTCTTAATTGTAATACAACTCAGGGCCATTTGGGAGATGATAAGGAATTACTGACGTCAGTTGATATGGAATCATAAAGTTAAAGCAAGACAAAGTGAGGATACTTGTGTACAATGAGCAAAGTATGCACTGCTGGAACTAGTCTGATGAGTGGAGTTTTTGCCCTGAAGATGGACATCCTACTGAGAAGATAATTCCTGAAAGAGGGAAAAATACACCATTTTATCAAGACAAGTGAAAGACAAAACTGAAACACATATGCTTTAGAAAACATGCTGTCCTTTTGTTTCCAATGTTACTAGACTTCTGTTCTTCTCTATGTTAAACGATTGCACTTCAGTTTATACCTGTTACAAGTAAAGAGAGCCTGGTGTTTTTACTTTGTGTTTCGTGTTAGGATCAGTGGAATAAGGAATTATATCTGTGTGTGCAGTGGTAACACTGGTCAGTCAGCTACCAAATAAGGCAGAAGCTAATGAAACAAAAATCTCCTTTCCCTTTTAAAAATAACAGAGGAGAAATCTCTCTGTAAAATGAAATAAACTTCATCTTAACCTCAATTTAAAATCATTAATGTCCTTTTTAGGGGAGCTCTGGTGGCCCTAGTGGCAAGGAGCTGCAACTACAATCCCAGAGGCACACAGTTCAAATCCACCAGATGCTCTGCCGGGGAAGGAGGGACAATCTCCTCCTGTACCAGTCAGATCTGATTTTATGGTACACTCACACAAAAATAGGAAAATTAAAAAAAATAAATAAATAAAATCATTAATGTCCTTTTTAAGCAACAGCAGTCAGGGAGGTTCTGTTTAAAATAACCAGCCATATAAGAACAAAAGAACAGCACTTGCCACAGGGTCAAGCCCAGAAGGAAAGAAGGTGTAGAATAGGAGAATTAAAGGAAATAAAAATTACTGGGCATAGTGTGATTGCATTGTTGTTATGTGCCGTTGAGTCGTTTGTGACTCATAGCGACCCTATGTACAACAGCCCTAAACCCTGCTCTATCCTGTGCCAATCTCATTGCCTCTGACACACCCATCCCGATTACCCCAGTCACTAAATCAGTCCATCTCATAGAGGGTCTTCCCCTCTTGCGCCGTCCCTCCACCCTCCCAAGCATGATGTCCCTCTCCAAGGACCTGTCTCTCCTTACAACATGCCCAAAGTATGTCAGAAGAAGCCCCAGAATCCTTGCCTCCAAGGAGTTGCTTGGTTTAGACCTCTCCAGGATGAGTCTTTGTACATAGGGTTTTCAGAGGCCTGCTATTTCAGAAGTGGATGGCCAATCCGTCTTCCTAGTCTGTCTTAATCTGAATGTTCAGATTCAGAGGAGTATCTGACAGATAAGCAATTTGTGGGGCAGTGAAAGAAAAATCCTTCATTGTGGTTGCATTGTAGATACTGTAATTCATGTTCTAAAACAAAATGTGTATGAATAATTGAATGGAAACCATAGTTTTATCAATGTTCACGTAGATCACAATCAAAAACTTCAGCAGCATCAGTCAAGGGCTCCACACCCACCCCATCAGTGGTCAGGTGAGTGCAAGAGCCTTACAAGGGCTGAAGGTGAAAGTTTGTTGGACAGACTGGAGACCAGATTTATTAGCTATATGTCATGTAGTATTTCTCCTTCCAAACTTAGGATGGATTCTAGCTCTTAAGTTTAAGAAACACTGGCATATAATGGTTAGATAAGCCAAAATCAAACTCCTTGCTGTGAAGTTGATTCTGACTCATAGCTACCCAGTAGAACAGGGTAACTTGGGAGTTTGAACCTTTTTTTTTTTAACCTTTTCAAAATAACCTTTTGGCTTCTTGTAATGTGTTGACCACCACTCCTAGCAACCCTATGAGCAAGGGCTCTGAACCTTTCCCTATTCTAAGCCAACCTTGCTATCTCTGATACACCTGACCCCCCTTGCCACAGTTATTATCAACCCATCTCACCCAGTGTCTTGCTCTCTTGTACTGAACATCTACCCTTCAAGCATGATGTCCTCCAAGGTCTTGTCCCTCCTGACACCATTCCCAAAGTATGTGAGATAATTTTGACTAGTAGCCCAAAAGTAGTAGCTGTGCTACGAGGGGTCCTTTAATGATTAGATGTTGCTGGGTGCCATTGAGTTTGTCCTGACTCTGAAC